CCCCGCCTCCTGGCCTTCCAGGCCTCCTGCGCGCCCGCCCCCAGCGCCCCCGACGGCTGCCTGCAGGATCAGGGCCCCCGCTGCCTGCGCGCCTACGCGGGCCTCGTGGGTACGCACTGCCGGGATCCGGGCGCGGGCTGGGGCTCTCCCGGGGCTGCCTCCGCCTGGGTGGGCCGATTACCCAGCCCTCGGCGTCCCCGCAGGCACCGCGGTCACTCCCAACTATGTGGACAACGCGAGCGCGCGCGTGGCGCCCTGGTGCGACTGCGGAGCCAGCGGAAACCGGCGTGAGGAGTGCGAAGCCTTCCGGGGACTCTTCACCAGGAACCGCTGCTTGGGTGAGGGGCCCAGGCGGGGCGGCGCTGACCGCCCCTTCCCAGGTTCAGGCTGGCGGCACCTTATTTTAGCGGTGAGGAAACAGGTTGTTTGCGGCAGCCACGCGGGTGCACACCCCCTCTGCTGTCGACCTGCCCCTCGAGACATCCGCGCCCAGTTCTCTCCGGAGACCAGGTCACAGATCAAAGTAGGATCTTCGCGATGTCTAGGCTGGTGACCCTGCGGGCGGGCGGGTGGGGGGCAGTCAACACAGGTTTCCCCGAGTTCCTGGAATGCAAGTAGGCGAAATTCTAGATCGCCACTTCTGAGGTGCTCCCACCCCCAGGGCACTCCCAACGTCCCCACTGATGATCTTGCCTTTTGGGTCTGAATAAACTGGGTGGCCTGTGAAGTCCATTCTGCCACTTAGCAGCCCAGAGTTAGTCAACTCCTCGAAGCTTTTTTGTGCCCATCTGTAGTATGGGGCTGCTAATCGGCACCCTTCCCTGTGAGGGTGACAGTTTGTAAGGGACTAGTGGCACAGATGTCCCTATTTTGTTATTCCTTGTCATGCACCTTCCATTCCAGAAGCCAGTCCTTGCAGATGTCCTATCCTCCCGCCCCGCCGCAGGATGCCAGAGGTCTCTGTTTGTCCCCGAGGAGCTGGGCCTTGTGCTGGGGTTTCCCAGCCTAGCCCACCCTGGACCCCTTCCTCCTTAGATGGTGCCATACAGGCCTTTGATGCTGGGTGGCCTCCAATCCTGCAGGACCGGCCAGATGTCCACCAGGACCCTGAGCACAGCCTCCTGCAAGTAGGTGTAAGGAGGGGATGGTGAGCTGGCAGCCCCTTGCACTGGCTCCTTCCACACACTTCCATTCCAGGTGGGCCTCGATGAAGGCATGAGTGGCCTGGGATGGAGGAGGTGGAGGCAGAGAGCAGAGCCCAGCTTCTGCCTCAAGTCCACATTCTGCTCCCACCCCCAAGGTGTCCTCCGCAGATGGGCTCCTGGTTGGGAGCTCCCTGCTCTCCATGCTCCCTGTCCTGGCTCTGCAGCCCCTGCTCTGACTAGGACAGCTGACCTTGGACAACACCACTGTCCCATCCTGCCTGGGGTACAGGGCCCCATCTGCACCCTACTGCCCCACTGAAAATGGACTGGCTTGCCTCCCAAGCTGGTCCCAGTGCTCTTGCCCTGCTGCCCTTTTTAGGTCTGGACACCCTGTGTGCCTGTCCCCTCGAGTGAGGGATGTGGGTTGAGGGCCTGATGCAAAGCCCATAGTTTCCCTTTCAGTGGGTTTCTTGGTTGTAGGTCCCTCTCTCCGCTGACCTTCGAACAGTTGGGTTCTCCCACAGGGTAGGGATGGGACGGGGTCACCTGTGTAGCTGAGGCTCGCTGGGGCCCCAGATCACCTAGAAGTCAGAAACCATCCAAATTCCCAGAATTTTAAGAGCTTTTACCAGCTTCCCCAACCAGAACATGCCCTAAGGAGTACATCTGAATAGACTTCAGGTAAAACTGTTTTGGATGCTGCAGGCTTTCATGGCACCCTCCCAGGGAGGTACCGCTGGTCATGATAGCCACCTAGGCCCCACTGACTAATGTTGGTAAGGTTCTTCCCAACCATGATCCGCTGCTTGGTGGGCACCACCTGGAGTGAGGATCCAATCCCCTGTGTTGCACTGGTCACATGACCATCTTTCCTATGGGTTAACCTAGCACTACGAATGGCGTTCCTAGCTCAATAAACCCACATGCACTGAGACTGGCCTTGCTTTCATGTGATCTGTCCTGGGAGCCTGGAGACCAGGTCAGCCACAGGGGGGTATGCTTCTGCTGTCCTGTGTGACCTCAGATGGTCTCAGAACCAACCTGGGCTACCTCTGCTCACCTTCGAGGCCAAACTGAATCAACTGTTAGATCCTGGTGGCAGAGATTTCTGTTGCTTTGTCTTCTTTGCTAGTACTCAGATTCAAAAACTATGCTTCCCAGCCTCCCTTGCAGCCAGGAGGTGGTTATGGGACACAGTCCTGGTCATAAGTGGAAGTCACAGGTGAGGCTTCCAGGAGAGTTCTTGAAACAGGAGAAGACTTGTTGGCTGGACCCTTCAGCCTTTAGCCTCCTCTCCCTTCTTCTTGCCCAGAACTTGGTGGCCATGTCTGGGGACATGGGTGCCATTTTGAAAATGGAGCCACGTGACATTGTGGAGCCACCGTCCCAGCCTCCATCTGCCTCCCTCTAGACTCTTCATTATATGAGAAAAATAATACCTTTAGTTTGTTTAAGCCTGTTTCTCCACAGACATCTGTCATTTGCAGCCAAACATAGTCTCTGATTGTCTCACTGCCACTTCTGGGGGGCCAGGGAGCCCCGGGATCACTTAGGAGACCCCCTCCTCATGTGCACAGAGCCCAGCCCTGACAGACACTTTAGAGTGATGGTCATTTTGTTGTTGTTGTTCTTGTTTTATTTCCACATATTCTGCCTGCTTCTGTCCATGGGGAGAGTCGAATTCTTTCCTGGAGTCTAGGGAAATGTGTCCTGTTTTCACAAGCCCTTGTGTGTGGCCGGTGTGGACCTGCGCGTGCCGGGGGCGTTGTGTTCATGTGCAGGTCTGCGAAGGTGTTCGGGAGGAGAAGGCAGAGCAGTGGCGGCCGAGTATGAAGTCTTCTGCCCGCTTCCTTCTTTCTCAAGAGCTTGGAGACCCTGATGAGGGAAGGGTTACAGAGTCTCCAGGCCGCTGCTTCTCAAAGCGGGTTGAGGCTTGTTAGGGGCCACGAAAGCGATGGAAGGGCACGTTGTTGGCGCCTTGCTCAGAGACTTCTCTGGGCCAAGCTGCTGGGGACGTTGGGTGCTAACCCCGCTCCCAGCTTCCCCCGCTCTAGAAGAAATGCCTGTAAAGATACCCTTTGCTCCCTGAGGTAGCCTGCAGCCATGCGGCCGAGTGGCGATTCCGTGCGCCATGCATGCTCCAGAGCTCCCTGTGGGATGGAGCTGAAGCTAGATCCCAGCTGAGACCACAGCCTAGCACCTTCCCCTGCCGGCTCCTGCCTCCCTCACTCAGAGGTTCCCCGGAGGGCACTCGCTCTCCTAAAGCATCCTGAGAATCCCTGTCTTGGGCTTGGTCTCTGGAGAACCTGACCTTAGACACAAGGGTTCAGTGCAGATCACACCAAAGCCCAGGCCTGGGGCTGTCCTGACCAGAAAAAGAGCCACTGGCTCTGAGACTCTGTATTTAGCACTCAGAACAAACCCACAGACACCACATGCAGCAACTACCAACCAGCCTGGCCACTCCAGCCAGTAATCTTATCGGAACCAAACACAAACCAGACGTGCTGGGGTAGGCAGCTGAGCAGTCTGGCTTCAGGCACGGCTGCGTCCGGGGGTTCGAGTGCTGGTGGCCCCGTTGGTCTGCGCATGGCCTCCTCCGTGGCCAGGCAGGCTCTCTCACCGCAGGGTGGGCAAGAGCCGTCCACAGCTCCACAGCTGCGGTCTCTCCTTTTAGGAACCTCAGCAGAGAAAGGCACGTCTCTTTCCCATCATCCATGGACTGAGTCAGGCAGGACCCCAGTAGGCCCAGCGTCATAAGCCTCTTCCAGTCGGCCCAAAAAGATCACATGGAATGGGAAGGACAGTTCTCCAGAGGAAGAGAAGTGGGGGGCTACTGGGCAGAGGGAAGCTCCGAGTCCAGCCTCTTCTCACTTCACGAAGAAGGAATGTTCTCGACTCTCTTCACCTGCATGGGAACGGGCACCTGTGTGTGGGCTGGAGAGAGACCATTTATGTGGGCTGGGAGCTGCGGCAGCGGGGTGAAAGCTGTTCACCGTGATGGGGCGGTGGCCCAGATGAAGGATTACGGGTCTTCTGGATGACGGGCCACACGTGCCGGTGTGTTAAACTCTAGCACTTCATTTTTTAAAAGTTTGTTTGTTTGTTTGTTTAATCTCTACACCCCACGTGGGGCTCGAACTCACAACCCCAAGATCAAGAGTCGTGTGCTCTACCGACTGAGCCAGCCAGGCGCCCCCATCACTTCATTTTTTTTTTTACTCCGATAATTAGAGTAAAATATAGGCATATACCTTTCAAAAGATTGCAAAGATGAAAAAAAGAGCAGCACTTAGTTGAAAACAGTGGCCCTGTGGCTGTCTCCCCTCTGTACTTCTCTCCAACTCAGGCGCGGGCTTCAACCGAATAGAGCCGCTTTAACGTCAGCGTGCCGCGGAAAGGAGGCTTCCTTTTTTTTTTTTTAAGATTTTATTTATTTATTTGACAGAGAGAGAGAGACACAGCGAGAGAGGGAACACAAGCAGAGGGAGTGGGAGAGGGAGAAGCAGGCTTCCCGACGTGGGGCTCGATCCCAGGACCCTGGGATCATGACCTGAGCCGAAGGCAGACGCTTAACCGACTGAGCCACCCAGGCGCCCCTTATTGGGAGCAGCGGGAAAACGAAAGTTCTCAGGGCTCCTGCTTTCTGGCTCTCTGTTCTTCCCCCAAGGGAACGGTCCCATGCGGGAGGCTTGAGGCCATTTGGGGCGTGGCCCCGGGCAGCTCTGAAGACAGAAGCCAAGAGGAGGGGACCGGGCACCATGGCTTACAGAGGCCACCCTCTGGCCACCCCTGGGCCCACTGACTTTCCGAGGGTTTTGTTGTTGGAATGGGCTGAATGGCGGCCCCAAAGCTATGTCCACATCCTAAGCCCTGGAACCTGTGATTGTTACCTTAGATGCTGGCAGAAGAGTGAATGTTACCTAATGTAGCAAAAGATGTGATCAAGAATCTGGGCAGGAGGAGCTTATCTTGGATTATCCGAGCGGGGCCCTAAATGCAGTCCTGTGCATCCTTAGAGGCAGGGGGAGATCAGAGAGATGATGTGAGGACAGAGCAGAGACAGGAGAGCCGGCGGCCACCAGAAGCTAGAAGAGGCTGGGAACGGGTTCTCCCCAGAGCTTCTGGAAGGGGCGCAAGCCCGTCAACACTGAGATTCCGGACTTTTGGCCTCCGGAACTGTGAGAATGAATTTCTGTTTTAAGCCACCGAGGTTGGGGAATTTGTCACAGCAGCCCCAGGAAGCCGAGAGTTGTCGGAGTTCAGTTTCTGTCACTTCTACCTGAAAAGGTCTGCCTCATACATGGTGTTAAGTCTGGCCAGACACCTCAAGGCTGAGTCCCGCTGCGGCCCCCATGACCAGGAACGGGTCCTGCCCTGTTCGTCCACATCTGTGTGTCGGCCTCCGTGTCCTTCCAGGTAGCCTGCTTGCTGTCATTCTCTCGTGTGCAGCCCTGGCCTCGTCCCCGTGACTGGGCCTCTGCTAGCTGCTGTCAGCACTGAGCCTCTAGCTGGCAGGTGGCTGGGGGCGGGGGAGGGGGTCAGGCAGAAAGGCAGGTGCTAGAAGCATCCATGGATTTATGGGTGGAAACTTCACGGCTCATGAATGTCCACTCTGGCTTGGGGCCTGGGTTGATACGGAATCTGCCTGTTGCCCCCTCCTGCCCTCTCCGCCGCATAGCTGAGTCAGGCAGGGCCAAACTCCCAGGAGCAGCTCATTTTTCGAGGAAGTGTGGACGCTGTTCGGTTAGATTTCCAGAGTAGCAGGAGGACAGGGGCCATGTGGGGCTTCAGGAGACATCCCCCAGCTGGACAGCAACTTGCCAGCGAGCTCGGCATGCGTGTGACAGGAGACAGAGCTGTGGCCCTGTCTTGCTGGCCTTCAGGCCCTGGAAGGCGTGAGTTGAAGGATGTCTTGGGAAGCTGTTTTGCCAAGAACATGTCACCCCACACTCAAAGGAGCCTCCAGTCCAAGGCAGAAGATACAGAGAGAATAATTAAGATGAGTACACACCAGAACAAAATACACAACCTCAGAAGCTGAGCCCTCATGGGATCAGGATTAAGCAAATGAGGAATGGCCTACTGGGTGTGTAAATGGGCCCCGAGCCAGGTTGTCCCCAGCTCCCCGTGCAGGACGTCAGGATGTTGCATATGGTCAGCAGGTCTTCCGGTCTGTCCCCTTCTTGTGTTGGCGACACAGGACAGAAGGGAATTCTCGTCAGGTGTGTTACCCAGCCAGCAACATGGGGCTGCGGGGTGTATCTGCACCCTGCACGTGTGTGTGGGTGGGGTTGGGGGCTCAGACACCAGGAAGGACAGTGCCATTGGGGACAGCATTTTCCAAAATGATGACCGGCTCTGGGTAAAGTTTTGAAGGAAACAAAATGTGCTCTTCCCTTGATTTACACCATAGTTGCATTTCTGGGAAACTGGCTGCATCAAACCAGCTCTCAGATCCTTGTGTTTGTAACCGGGTTGGGTTCCACACTTAGATGATTAGGAACAGGTTTTCTCATCTACACAAATACCCAACAAGACGTTTCAAAATCGAGGGGGAGGTGGGTCAGTTCTTGGTTGGGTGGGACAGTCCCATGTGTCACAGGATGACCACCTTCAGGCTCACCCACTAAATCATAGCAGCACCTCCCTGGGCAATGCAATAACCAAAAGGGCCCTTACCTCTTCCCCAAATGTCCCCCAGGGGGTGGTCCTCTGCCAGTTGAGAACTATGCCCCGCAGGCCCCGGCCAGGCCCAACTCCCAGGACTGCTAGGGAAGCCCACTTTGTTTTAGCCACTCTGGCCACTTTGGACCAGCTCAGACCCACCAGGCATGCCCTACCTCTAGGCCTCCGCACCTGCTGCTCCCTCCATTTCTGGTTGTTCTTGTCCCGAACACGCGTGTTCTTGTCCCGAACACCTTCATTCAGCTCTCTGCTCAGCTGTCACCTGTCAGAACGGCCTCCCCTGTCCCACTAAAGAGCAATCCCTCCCCCCCCGCCCCCACCCCGCACTTTCTGCCCCCTACTGCCTCGGTTCTTTCACAGAACTTACCATCTGATGTTGTATCCATTACCTGTCTCCCCAACTGCCTTGTACGCTCCATGAGGACAGGGATTTTTGTCTGTTTCGTTCCCTGAAATCCCTGGTCCCTACGCAATGTCTGGCCAGCAGATAGTGGCCAGACAGGGAAGGACACTCTCACGCAGGGAGGAGGAGGATGGCAGACATGCGGCGATTCTGAAATGCTCTGGGGCCCCGCGGCGTGTGCCCTCAGACATAGCTTGCACAACCATCTCCTGCCTGCGCGTGGTTCTAATGAATCACAGTGTTGGTTGGCTGTTTACATTTTTAAAGGTCAGACTAACGGTTTCTTTGGCAACGTCATTCCCTCAAAAACCTACACTTTTTTTTTTTTTAAAGATTTATTTATTTTAGAGAGAGCAAGCGGGGGAAGGGCAGATGGGAGAGAGAGAGAGAAACAGACTCCTGGCTGAGCACGGAGCCTGACTCGGGGCTCGATGTCACTGCCCTGAGATCATGACCTGAGCTGAAATCAAGAGTCGGACACTTAACTGACTGTGCCACCCAGGAGCCCCCAAAACCTACACTTTTTATTTCCCAGGCAGATCCAGGGTCAGTGATGACATTCCTGGTTCTTTCCTGGACGCAGTTCTCAAGTTGGCTTTCTATCTTTGCTTCCTTGTTGCCTCTCCCTCAAGATGCTGCCCTAGAGGTTACGAGGCCCAGGCGGGAAGACCACACCCTCCACCTGCTTCTCACCCCGGGAGGCCGAGAATTACTGGGTCTCTGTGGGTCGTGAGCGCCTCTTAGTGTTTGGAGGCCAGAAGCAGGAGGAGTTGGCTTTTCCAGCACTGCAAGACTCTGGATTTCAGGATCCTCCATCCCTTTCCCTTCGGCTTGTAAACTGGCTAATTCTTTCTGGAAGTCAACTCCTCCTTGTGGTGCCTCGCCAAAAGCAGCCAATAACAACATATGCCACATTCTGGGTTTCTTTCTTTCTTTGTTTCTTTTTTGACCTTCTTCCCTCTGAGCTAAAAACTCAGCAGACATGTAGACGGCTGAACTTGAACAGCCTCACCAGATGTTTTGCGCCTGCCTGGTGGGGACCCCAGCTGTTCTGCTGCCACCATGTTTGCTCCCTGCCTGCCACCTGGCCACGACCTAAGCCAAAGCCCTGCATTTTAGGTTTTGGTGACGGTTGCCCTGAGCTTCAGGGTACCAATCTATCAGCGAGAGTAAGAAAAGCCACTTGTGGTAATAAACCCCCAATCTCAGTGGATCAGTTAGAGTGGAAGTTTCCTTTTAGTGAGGCAAAGACCAGCACACAGCTCTTGCTGAGCAGGTGACTTGCCTCTAACTGGTGACTCAGTGACCCACATGCCTTCCAACCTCCTTGGCACCTGACCTCCAGGGAGTCCCATGCGGGAGCACCGTATGGGCCACGTTTGGAACTGGTGTCCATCCCTTCTTTGGCCACAGCTCAGTTTATGCCCCCCCCCGGGGGGGGGTCCACTGGCAAAATCTAATGGATTTGGTGAGCACACGGTGTTGTTTCTGCCACAAACCACACACTCCCAGGTTTTCATCCTGTCTTAAGCACTTGGTGGCTCCCACAGCCCTCCCCCGCTGAACAGTTTCATGGTTTTCTCCACCCTGGCAGTGGCCACCAGTCCAACCATTTACCTCCCCAGCCCAGTCCCAAGCGCTGGTGGGCTGGCGGGACCTGGTGCCCCGGCCTCCCTCCCCTCCAGCAACCACGGCATTTCCTTGTGTCTCCTCTTCGGTTCTCCACCCCCCTTACGCCGACCTTCCTGCTGGGGCTCCTGCACTCCACACCAGGGTGCCGAAGTGCACCATTCTGACCCTGCTCCACACGCAGGTGCCGCACCCACAGACACAGCTTTCTGGGTGAGAAGAAGATCAAAACCTCCGAACCAAGGACAACGCTGTGGCCGTGGAGTACTCAACCTGTCAGCACACCCGAGACTGAGCAGTCTGGAAAACCTAAACGTTCAGGAACCCATGAGAGAATGAGAAGATGAAAGACCAAGGGCAGCTGGGGTGCCTGGGCTGCGCCCAGCCCCCGCCAGGCCCCTACCCCGGGGACCCTCCCATGCCAGGGCAGAGCTGCCCTGCACACCGATCTCCTCCCCGCCCCCACCCCCCAGCACGGTCGCTTCAAGGGCAACGCCAGCTACAGTGGGGACGCTGGGAGTCTGCTCACAAGCTGCGCAGGGCTCTCTGTACCCCGTCACCCCAAGAGGTAGCCGAGGTGCCCACCCTGCTGGTTTTATACCTTGACCTTCACTCAATGCCAAGTGCTTCCTCTTAGTCTGAAAACTGGTAACCATCTTAAGCATTTCCCCCCCTTTTCGTAAGGTTCTAATGACCAGACTGTAAAAATAAAGGAAAACAACACAAAATCAAAATTCAACACTTGGAGCAAAAACCGCATTTTTACCAGATCTACTTTTATTTCAGAAGAAAATTTGTATTATAGTATTTACTTTTGTTTATATACAAGTTCTTCACATTTGTGTTTAAAATGCACAGACCTCCCTTAATTCTCTTGTTCCTGCTTAAATTAGCTGTTATTTTACAATACAAAAAATACCAAAAAATTGCAGTCCTAAATGTATGTATAACACCCACAGTCCCCAGCAATGAAATAGTTTACAATACTTACTCCATATTTACATGAGTGCAAGAAATGCTAAATTATACATATTAACAAACTAAGCTTGAATCCAAACCAAAAATAAAACAAAAACAAAAACCGTAAATACCTATAAAACAAAAACATTTCCAGAGCCAGAATTAGTTCAACGAAACAGGCTTCACTAGTGTTTAGAATGTTTTGTGCACAAATTTCAGTTTCTGAAAGTCAATTCCATTATTGCCTTTGAAAGAGAAGGCGCCAGTTCTCCTCTCCAGTCCAGATCATCTCCCTGCAGGTAAGGGTGTTCAGGAGTTTGAACGATTCCGGGCAAACGTCTCTTGGCGGGCCTGCCATCACGGTGATTTTTATGGTTGGAGCCGAGCTTGGTAAATTGGGCACACATTTCAGACTGAGAGCTGGTGCTCGGCCCCAGGACAGACCCTCTGCCTTCCTGGGTCTGTCCTCAGGGCGGCCAATTCTCACAGAAACCGCCACGAGGAAAGGTCTCCTGGGATGAGGGGCGCGAGCTGGGCTTTGCTGTAATTCCAAAGAGCTTCTTTCCGTCTCGGTCACTGCCCTAGCGTTAGCTCAGGTTGTTAGTAAGTGCTCAGGGAGTATTCACTGAGGGTGTGGATGGATGAGAGAGACTAAAGGATCAAAGTGTTCTCAAAAATGACACCAGCACCGGAGGAAGTGAACCCCCACCCCCTCCCCCGTTGAACTGACGGAGCGAGTTGCACTGAAAAGGTCCCATGTCTTCTTTCTACCGAGAGGGCTCTGGTCTTCTCGCGCATCCACGTCCGCCCCGGGCTTCCCGATCGGTGCGTCTCCCATCTCCCATCGGGGGCTTCAGGCCTCACCCCCAGATGTTCTGCTGTTTTCCTGCCAAGGGCTGCTTTTCCTCCAGGGCAGCTCGGGGGAGGCGTGGGGGGAAGTGTGGCTTGCCTTCTCTCCACACCTCCTCCATCTCTTCAAGCTGATCTCATAGGGAGTGCTGTAAGACGAGGAGTGGGGCGCGGACAGGAGGCCAGGCTGGGCGTGGATCCGCAGGAGGGAACGGGAGCGATCTGTCAGTGAACCGGCCATCCTACTCCCACCCTGGTTTTCAGTACAGGAAACCACAGTCCCGGGAAATGGTCATTCAAATTGTAGACCAAACGGAACAAAAGGCAGCCTGGAAAACCCCTTTCTGGAAAATCTGAGAGAGTCTTCGAACTGAGAGACTAAGAGAAACGCTTCTCAGGACAAGACTGGTCATCCGTGGCCAGGCACAGTAGCAAGAGGCTAACAGAAAGATTCATGACCCCCTGCAGAGCCTGCAGGTGACAGCGACATGCCCGCTGCCTTCAAGGCTCCTCACACAATGCTGTTTAAATGTACTCGACGCCTGAGTTCTCCTCTGTGTACCGGCAGACGATTTCTGTTTTAGAATCAACCAATTCGGACCAGATGCATCTGGACACACTGGCATGATGGGGATGCCCCCCCCCTTTTTTTGGTTTTGTTATCAATGTATCAGGGCCCAATGAGAGGACTTCTTTAGACTTGGATATCCGGTATGTGTCACAAAAACATATTAGGTAAAACTCAGACACCGTTACATTTAATAAAAATACATTGACATAGTTTTGTTTTATGTACACTCTGAATGTCTGAACATTCTGGACACTACTGTATAATTATGTACAAGTGCAACATCAATGTTTTCGTGACTATTTTAACTTATATACAGGCTCTCCTGTGACACGCAGGCATTTCTCTGAAGTTCCAGATGATTCCCTCTTGGTAACTGGCTCCTAAGCTGAGCGCCTCTTTCTCCTGCCCCTCCCTTCCTCTGGCCTGAGCCCTGAGGAAGCTGTTTGCTATTGGCTGCAAAGGAGAAGCAGGTGGATTCAGCTGTTTCTCCACTGTTGGAGCAGAAGTAAACATCACTTGCTCCTTTTTCCTTCCTTTTTAAAAATAAACTATCTTTTAGAAAAGCAAAACACCAAACCAGGTGCTATGGGACACGGTGTATGTTATTTCAAGGCCTGGGAAGCCATGGGGAAGAGACTTCTTTGGCCAAAGAAACACTGGTCCTTTGAACAAACAAGGATTTTCCTTGTGGGGGGTCCTTCTCCAGCGGCCTCCCTCTCTCTGCCAAGAGGCCTCATGGCAATTATAGGGGTAAAGCGCCAGTCTGAGGCAGGCTCTCTGTGGGTGCTGTGATGTGGAGCAGGGATGTGGGAAGCTTGAGAGAGAAGGGGGTCTTTTCTAGAATTGTCTGCTCTTTGTCATTGATGTGAAAAAGCAGCTTTTTGAGAGGCGAGTCTCAAAGTAGAGGTGTTTTGTGCATCAGACAGTGTTTTAGGGTTCAACTTCCATGAAAACATCTTTCCAGGCAACTTTTCATGGGCGAGGGCTGGGAAAGAGACAGCGTTCCTACTCTAGGCACTGCATGTCAAGGTGAAAAGCTGCAGTCTTTGCTCTTTCGAGTATTAATTTCTCCAAATTCACAAACGAGTGTGGTTGTCTAGAGGGCCATCCCTACGGGGTAATGCTAGAGAACCCCAAGTTTTGAAGTGGAAGAAAGACCTGCAGAGGCTGCCGCGTAATGCCGGAATACAGAGCACCATACACAGGGAAACCATGACCCCCAGGCAGCGGCCTGCGGAGAAGAGCAGGACTGCCCCGCCCCACTTCAACTTGGTCACTTTCCACTTGGCATGGTTATTCCTCCTTATCTATATTCTCTATGTGCTTTTCATCCTTCTCAGTGGTCACTGCCCTGCCCACAGCCACCACCCGGGGCTGGGAAGGAGGATGGGAGGGCCAAGCTGACCCTCTCCTGAAGGAGAGCCAGCAAACAGTTCCAGGTTCTTCTCCAGGCTTTGGGCGTGCAATTCCACCTGCAGCCTGAGGATGGCCCACCAGCTCAAGGCAGGCTCTAGGGCACACTGTTGCTCTTTGATGCAGGGATCCTAAGGGCTGGCATGCTCTTTTCTGCCCAAGGGAGACATGTAACATGGACGAGTCCCTGCCTCTGTGGTGTCCTGGCAGGAGTGGCTAGAAGGGCTGGAGCCAACGTCAGGCCTAGAGTGGGGGGCGGGGGGCAGGGGGCACATGAGGACCACACCTTATTTAGTGCTCCTGTCTTTTGACAACAACATAAACAGGAGCTTTCACAGTTTGGTAATTTCCGCTTTCCTCTCAGTCCCTGCTGCTAGGTTAAACGTTCCCTGGGGTGAGAAAATTCTTTCCTGGCTGCAAATTAGATTTTAGAAAAAGAGCAGATTGCCAATGGTAGCTATTTAAATTTTATAAGAATGTAGGAATGCAATTATGGAAAAACTTAGGCTTACTAACTTTCCAATTGCTAGATCTATTTCAAGTCTAGGCACTTAGTGTGTGTGTATGTGTGTGTGTGTATGTGTGAGAGAGAGAGAGACAGAGAGAGAGACATGAGAGAGGGAGAGAGACAGAGAGAGGGAGAGGATTTCAAATGGATTAAGAATAAATTAATCAAGTTGCTATAGAAAACTACCTATTACATCAGTTTACATTCTAAGTAACACTGCTGACCTTGACATTTAAAATAGCCCCCTTCTACCTTAGTTTGATATGATTCAAAAGAGATGGACCTTTGTTTATTCTCAACTAGAAAAAAGCTACTCCCTGCAAGAGAGAGGTTTGCCTACGTCATGCGAGAATAAGTAGCACATCTTTTAAAAAAGATAGCAGGCTTCAGATGAGAACAAATTCATTCATCTGACTAGTTTTTAAAAGACCATGTTCAAGAACGACTGGTGGTGAATGTCTACTTGTAAACACTACATCTTCTGTTTTTTGCAAGTTGAGACAGCCCCAAGAACAGTTTTCCACAAGTGAACCTGAGTGTTGCTCCCAGCTCTCTCACTGGCTCTGCCCCGGCCTCCTCCAGCAACAACTGGGTCACCCCTGGACCTGCCATTAAATAATTATTTCCTATGCAAAAGTAAAAGGTTAGATGCTGGAGCACAGATGGGAGAAACCGGCAAAGAAAGCTCGTGAACATGCAGAGGAGTCGGATGTTTCGAGGGTTTCCAGTCTTCGGCCCACTCCATGGAGCATCTCCCCGCCTGCCCCCTCCCTGCTGACGGCGCCGCACGCCAGCCCCCCCACCCCGCCGGCTCGCTCACGGAGAGTCTCCGCCCGGCCTCAGATGCAGGTCCCGGGCTGCGCGGGGGGCTGCTGCTTCCGGTTTCTCACGGCTCCTGACTTCTCTTTGTACACCATTGGCATCTGCTGAGAAATGTCCACGAGGGCGCTGGCCACCGCGAGACCTGGGGAGAGCCCATGGGGAACACGTGGTGAGGAGCAGCTTGCTTTGTCTTTAAACATAATTTCAGGAAACTTTTTTTTTTTTAACATTCCCGGGGTGCAATGAGCAAATAAATAAGTATAGAGGGGAAAAGCCTTCCTTCCTTCCGCGTTGTGCCTCCCTCCACCCGAGCACTGCTTTCAGTAATCTGTATATATCCTTTCAGGGTTTACTGATGCAAATACACACACATATTCTTCTCCCCTCCCCACTTTTTACACAACAGATGTAGCTTGCTGTTCAGCAGATCAGTGAAGCAAAGAGCTCTGCCTGGCAGTTGGAGCATTTAAGAAAGATTGCAGTCATGCTCTGAGTGCTACATTTTTCTGCGGGCCTCCAAAAGGGTGCCAAGAAAAAGCAGCACTCTTGATCAGTAAATTCAGATTCATTCCACATCACTCAGCCAGCACTAGTTATTTTCGTATCTATCCTAGACAGGTTAGGACAGACTCTGGGGCCAGGCTTTGGAATACATAAGGATCTTTAACCGCCCCATGCCTCCGTTTCTTCATTTGTAAAATGGGGACAATAACAGGACACGGCATGTGTGAGGAGTCACTGAGTGAACCCATGTGAACATCTTAGAATGGTACCTGGCTCGTCGCCCCACCACCCCCACCACCCTTGCTTTAGGGTCTAGTGGGTTCCATTCTCCTTTTTGTACTAGGAGCTGATTAACCTGATGTTCAGTGGGGAAGGCACGGTTCTGGGGGAGCTGGATTCTCAACGCATGTGAATGAGCCAGTGGAGGCTCAGCGCCCAGCTGAGGTCCTCATGAGCCACGTTAGTGCCACCTGTTACTCCACTGAGCCTATAAAAATGGAGGAATGGGGGGAGTGGGGGGGAGGTTTTATGTGCCTGGCGTGCAGTGGGGAATCCACACCAGTGACACTGTTTAGCAAAGGCAGAGTCCAGAGGAAGGACCAACTAAAATGGGGGGTAGAGAAGAGACCATCTAAAATGGGAGAATGGTCTCACTTGGGGTGGGTCTCAAGCAGTGAGCCGGCCTTCATCAGGAACTGAAGGGGATGAGGCCTATCAGGGAAAGGACAGGGCAGGAAAGGCCACAGTACTGCAAGCCTGTCACTTCCCTACTCTAGCCAGGGCCTTGCTCTCAGAGAGCACAGGCCAAGTTCGCTGAGCTGGGAAGTAACAGGAAACAATGCTCCAGAGTTCAGGTCAATGGGTCATTCTGTCCTTGACATGGATAAGGCTGAGTTAGGAGGTGAACTCACATCCCTAGGTCAGAGCAAATCAAGCTGTTCCCCTATGAAATGAAGCCCCCCCTTAGGCCTGGCCAAGCCTAAAGGCCTCCCTCGTGAGGACCCAGAAACCATTTCGAGAGCTCAGCTGGAGGCGGCTCTAGATCTGAGGGCTGCACTCAGGAGGCTTTGGAGCTCCGGGGCTGGGCAAGGATTCTGAGACATACTTTATCACAGACACAAGGCTTTCCTTGGCTAAGGCAACCGTGACCCCCAGAATCACTTCAACTGAAAGCTGTCTAAAATATATTGTGCGGGGCGCCTGGGTGGCTCAGTCGTTAAGCGTCTGCCTTTGGCTCAGGTCATGATCTCAGGGTCCTGGGATCGAGCCCCGCATCGGGCTCCCTGCTCCCCCTTCCCCTCCTTGCTTGTGTTCCTGCTCTTGCTATCTGTCAAATAAACAAAATCTTAAAAACAAAACAAAACAAAAAAGCCCCCCATATTGTGCATCTTGTCTGACGCGTCCCTCCAAAGTACTCCGCGATTAATCAGGATATTTCCGAAACTGTATTCCATATCTCCTTAGTGTTTAATAAGAGAATGTTTATCGAAATTATGATTTGTGTACTTGATGGAATTGCATAAAAGAAACTGGTAAAATGTTACATAGCAAAGTGTCAAAATGTTTATGATAGTTATATGAAAAAAGAAGAATAAAAATTAAATCTATACAATCATTTCAACAAAGCTGCTGCCAGGGCTGGAAAGGAAAGAGAACAATGAACACTGGTGGGTGCTGGATGGTAGGATTGTGAGTACCCTTCCAAGACTTCCTTTAAGCTGTTATAATTGCTGTTTGTGCCTTATATTTAACAGAGTGAAAAAGCAAAAGACAGGCAGTACTGCTACAAATACCAGTTTGAGAGTGGACAGCTTGGAGGAGCCAGCTGGGAGCCACGAAGAGTAGGTAAGACGACCACGGAAGAGCATAGGGAAGGGAAGGTAGGGGCGGAAGCGTCCATACCTCCGGGAGGCCGAGGGAGAGGGGCAATCCCAGCTTGTCCCTGGGAAGGAACCTCTGGACAGACAGTTTAGGGAACACCAGGGACAATGGGATCATCTCCCCAAATCCTTACAATGACACGAGGTAGGCACGTGCCTCCTGTTCACTATCGCTTCTTTACCCAAGTTCACGTCTGGTTTGTCACTGGCCCTCATCCACTCACCTGACTGCCCAGGAGGAGGGATTCCACAGAGCCCTCGAGGGAGCCTCACAAACACAGAGAGGACAGCAGCTTTGTTGCCAAAACACGGCTCCAGGGCAATGGGTTTGGGAACAGTCTGGTGGGAGATAACAAAGAATTACCTAAACCAGTGTTTCTCAAGTGTTAATGATGCAGCCTTCACAAGTGATTTTTTTTTCATTTTTTTAAAATTTAAATTCAATTAATTAACATATAATGTATTATTGGTTTCTGAGGTAGAGGTCAGTGATTCATCAGTCTTATATCAGTCTTATATAATACCCAGTGCTCATTACATCAAGTGCCCTCCTAAATGTCCATCACCCAGTTACCCCACCCCCTCGTAATTTTTAAAGATGCCCTCTATTAGTTTCTATTGCTGAGTAAACTTAGTTGCCTACAACAGCACCTATTTATTATCTATCTCAGTTGGGCAGGTCGGAAGTCCAGGAGAGCTCTGTAGGGTTCTTGCTTACAGATACAGGTCTGTTCATCTCTTCCATCAGTTCTGGAAAATTCTCAGCTCTTATCTCTCAAAGGTCTCCATGATCTCAGCTTTTATCTTCACAGGTGGAAGTCAAGTTAGCATCTAGGCCGGCTCTTTCCTGCAGGCTCTAGGGAAGAATCTGTTCAAAACTCATTCAGGCGGCCTCAGATGGCCGGCAGAATCCAGTTCCTTGCAACTGTAGGTCTGAGGTCCCCACTTCCCTGCTGCAGGGGGCTACCTTCCAGCTTCAAATCAGTGGTGGTGTGCCAAGTCCTTTGCATGTTTCCTCTTCTGCCACCAGCCAGAGAAAGTCTCTCAGTGTCTTAAGGTCTCAGCTACCTTGGGATTTGTATGACTTTTGCCCAATCCCTTCAGAGCAGCACCTAGAGTAGTGTTTGACTGAAAAACCATGAGCTGGGAATCTTGGTGGCCATCTTTAGAATTCTGCCTGCCATACCTCCAAATACATCATTCATTTCTTCAATTTGGTTGAAGAAAATGACTTCTGGAACCACTGTGGCCGCAGCACAGGGAAGGACGGGGTGGGTGAGAGGACAGTGCAGTGATAGGGGTGTAGGTGTGTGTGGTGGTGGAAGACAGAACCAAAGACATGTGCTGATGGACTGGCTGTCTGATGAGAATGAGAGCAAGCACGGACCAAGCACAGTTCCAGGATTTTGGCCTGAGCGGCTAGGATGAGGTACTGAGTTGGGGGTGATATGCCAAGAAGAGGTGTGGGGGATAATATCCAGAGCTCAGCTTTGGCTATGTTAACTCTGAGATGGCTGCTAAGACATCCAACTGGGGATACCGAGTAAGCAAGCAATTGGTTATAGGAGTTGGAGGTTCACAGGAGAGGTCCGAGCAGAGAGATGGTGTTAAAATAAACCCATGACGGAAAAGATCACTTCTTGGTCTGAATGTTTGTGTCCTTCTAAAATCCGTAATGTTAAATCTTAATGCCTAATACGATACTTGGAGGTAGGGCCTTTGAGAGACGATTAGTGCCCTCATAAGAGACCCCCGAGAGCTCCCTAGCCCCTTCCACCATGTAAGGTCAGAGTGAGAAGGCACCATCTACGAACCAGGAAGGGTGCTTCCACAGACACTGAATCTGCCAGCACCTCGATCTTGGACTTCCTAGCCTCGAGAATTTGTAAGAAATTTCTGTTGTTTCTAGGACACCCAGTCTCCAGCGCTTGGTTATAGCAGCTCGAACAGACTAAGTTACCAAAGGACTGGGTGCAAAGAGACGTGAGAGGAGGCCCAAAGACTGAGGCAGCCCTGCACCATTAGTGGTGTGGGGCCATGGAGAGGGCTGCACAGAGAACACTGAGCAAGAGCCCCCAGAAGGTGAGAGAGTGTGTGTCCTGGAAAGAGCGTCAATAAAGCGTTCGACGGAGTAACCACCTGGGTCATATGCCATTGACATATGACATATAGTGCTGCTGCTTAGTACTTTAGATTTGTCTGTTTTATTAATCCCACAAATTGTTATTTTATCACATTCGCTTAGATTTATGTACATGCTTACCACTTCACTTTCTCACTATTCCTTCTCATTCCTCAGTCCTGGGTAGTTTGCCTTTCTCCGAGCACATCCTGTAGACATTTCTTTTGTACAGGTCTCTGGTGGCCAACTCAGCTTTCCTTCTCATCGGAAGAAATCGCGCTTCTGTCCTTGTTCTCGGAAGGCAGTTACTGGGCACGCTATTCTAGGTTGGCAGTTCTCCTGATGTCATTTAGAGACATTCTTCCACGCTCTTTTGGCTTTTGATGTTACTAATGAGAAGTCAGTTGTTGCTCTGTCATTTCCTTTAGGTGATCTTTTCTTTTTTTTCCCCCAGTTATTTTATTAATGTAGTAAATAGACTAACATTTACCATCCTAACCCTTTTTTTTTTTTAAGACTTCATTTATTTGAGAGAGGGAGAGACAGAGATGGCGAGAGAGCACAAGTGGGGAGTGGGAGAGGGAGAAACAGGCTCTCCGCTGAGCAGGGAGCCTGATGTGGGACTCGATCCCAGGACCCCGGGATCATGACCCGAGCCAAAGGCAGACGCTTAACCAACTGAGCCCCCCCAGGAGCCCCCCATCCTAACCATTTTTCAGTGTACACTTCAGAGGTATTAAGTAGATTCATATTGTTATGCAACCATCATCACCATCCATCTTCAGAACTCTTTTCATCTTGCAGAACTGAAACCCTCCACCCATAGTGACTCCCTATTCCCCTCTCTCTCAACCCCTAACAACCACAATTATACTTTGTCGCTATGGACTTGAGTATTCTAGATAACTCAGAAAAGTGGGATCTTACAGTATTTGTTTTTTTGTGACTGGCTTATTTCACTTAGCATAATGTCCTCAAGGTTCACCCATGTTGTAGCAGGTGTCAGAATTTCCTTCCTTTTTGAGACTGAATAATATTCCTTTGTATGTGTAGACCACATTTTGCATACCCATTCATCTACTGATGGACATTAGGGTGCTCCCATCTTTTAGCTACTGTGAATAATGCTGCTATGAACATGGGTGTACAAATATATCTTTGAGACCTTGTCTTCCATTCTTGCAGGTATATATCCAGAAGAGGAACTGATAGATTATATGGTAATTCTATTTTTGTTTTTTTGAGGGAGACCAATACTGTTTTCCACAGCAGCTACATCATTTCACATTCCCACTAACAATGCTCAAGGGTTCTAATTTCTTCACACTGTGGCAATCCTACAGTATAGATATAAAATACATGTCAGGTCTTCTCATTTTATCCTCCATATTCTTATCATTTGTCATAGTTTCCATCTTCTTGTGTCTCTGTTCTGCATTCTGCGCAATTTCTTCAGATTCATCTTCCAGTTCAAAAGTTCTGTCTTTACTTGTATCTGATGTGCTGTTTAAAATGTAGACGGAGGGCGCCTGGGTGGCTCAGTTGGTTAAG